AGTGCCGCACGAGGACAAGCTAAAGTTCACAAAGCTCTCCACTTAGATGACCACTTTCAAGATTCCTTAGAGGCTCTTAACTCGTCCGAAGCTTGCACGACTGATGTTGTTCCTTGTAACAGATTCGAAGATCTCTTAGAAATGATTAATATTACACTTGTAATAAAATTTGTCAGTATTTCAAATTATTGTATAGAGCAGCTGGCCTCTTATCAATGTATGAATTGTATGAATAGAAAGTGATGTGACGTGTCAATTAGGGAGATGATGCCATGTGGTCTGATTCAACTGTCACCACGTCGGCCAAAGTAGTATAACTAGATTCTCTTTGTAACTTAAAAGGGAGGATTATTAATTAAAAGAGCGACAATCAAATATATTCAAAATACCCACTGAAACTTTGGGAAAAATATATGAACACTTGAGATTATTTTCCATCTTCTAGGTATGGTTATGAGCTATAAATCTCCATATACGACGTAGCAATTTCAATACACATGATATCTACCCTTCCATATACTCCAATTTGTTATTACATAAACTATTTCTATTTCAATTCGGCAACTATTGTTAGTGCGATTACTTTTGTTCCATTCGCCGGAGTTTGAACATTTTTGTCTCTTACCGCAAAGTACCTCCTGCATCCATCTCCTTTTTGCTACCATCATCATTCTGGTAGGAATGCGCTAGAATCATATCTAATTTAGCGTAAGTGGGCCCGACATCTGTTGGCTCATTTTCAGGTGTCAATAGATTGACGCCGCCTATGGAAAATTTTACATTTAACCACGAAAGTATCTATGGGAAAAATCCAATTAAAAGTATTTTGGCAAGAAAGTTTCCACCCTTGAAAAAGGAGAGTTCTTGAAGAAAGAACCATTGGAGAACCCAAATAATTTAATACTTATTTGATCACTGAAGAAAGGAAAATTTTTTGAGAAAAGTGTATGTGAAAAATGAGCTCAAGTGGTGACGAAAGTGCACTTCTAAGGTCAGGGGAATACCTTGAAGAAGGGGAACCCTCACGAGCTGCCTTAGCTACTCGCAAATGACCCCCACAACATAGGCAGGGTGGGTCCAGAGGAGGAAGCAGGATTACAACTAGGCTTACTAGAGAAATGGCCACAATGGCTGCCAACAAGAGAAATATAACCAAGCAAAACATGGTCATGCATGAAATGTTTATGAGCATGCAGGGCCAGGAGGTCTTCCATTCTTCCATATACAGCCCCTGAAAATGCATTTCGTGACCTTCAGGAGTACTATTACAAAAAAGAGGAAGTCCAAAGCTAAATGGCTAAATGCCACCACACTATGATAGAAGCTCCCCAGGAAAGGGAGGTTGTGGTCGTCGGTCGATACATCAACCAATTATGCATCAGAGCGACCCCATGAGGCTCCATACAACTTCCATCTGAACTACGAGCTAGAAAACCAACCACAGAGGTCAGCCAGTGTCTTTGACAGGATAAGCTCGAGGTTGCCTAGAAATAGGCAGGCTCATCCTCCTATGCCTAGAAATAGGCAGCAGGAGCCTCTCCAGTATGGAAGACAACAACCTGCCTACCAGGAAGAGCCTCCGATCCCTCATCCTACAAATAGGCACAAGAGAAGTGACCGGGCTAGGAGTGAAGCAGGACCCTCCGAACTATATCTCCATGCCCACCAATGAAAGGATGAAGACTTTGATGAATCCCAGAGGTCCTGCGACCTAAGCGACGACGATGACCATTTACCTTTTTCAGAAGCTATTAGAAATGCCCCAATGCTGAACCACTTTACACTCTCTAAAATTCCTAAGTATAATGCAAGAGGTGACCCCTCGAAGCACATCAACAGCTTCAAAACT